AGGAATGGTAAGCCACAGAAATGGTTAAAATGGTCTTGAACTGTAATACATTTTATGGAAACCTGTGTCCACTGCCTGCTTAACTTTGACTCATCACCATCAGCAGTTGGTTAGTTCTTAGTAATTTGCTGCTTCTTGAAATTGCTTGGCAGTTTTTCATACCCCACAGGTTATTTTGGTTCATATCAGACTACTGAATAGCATGGATATGTGGGAAAAGGTATCTGTGTGAAGCAGTAATTCTTGAGTTTTAGGCTGTGGTCTTGCTTCTGTAGCCTTGACCAAATAACCTGAACTCTTTATTGGCTTTTCCCAATATAATTACCTCATCAGACACCATGGTAGCAGATTAACATTCAAAGACAAAATATGGTAACTACTTTAACTGTAAACCAAATAAAGACTTGGGTGTGGACTAGTAAGTAAACAGTGTGGGAACTGGAGATGTAAAAACAAATTATTTTTTCCATATTTCAAACACTTCACAAATTCATTCTGTGTGCTCTTTGTTGTTTACATCACTGCTGACAGACTTTTTTTCTGCATAGACATCTAGCCTTTGAGACTAAATTTATTGCAGGTTCTAAATACTCTTTTATACCTTATGGTCTTTGTTTCCCTCCTGAGTTCTCATACCCACAAACTGAAAGAAATCAATAAATGGTCACTGGGCATTCAAGTTCAGTTTCTACACTGTTTTATGTATCATAGTAACTTCAATATTATAATTACTGTATTGATTGTGTAGCTAATGAATAATGGCTGTTAAACCTATTCATGCTTTAGAAAGGCAGGAAGTACTGTCTGCCTTTGATTTAATTAGAAATGGACAGATTCACATTTTCAGTAAAGGAAAGGAGATGGGGTGGGTATAGATGGTACATCTCTTAATACTGTAAGTGATGCTGCACTCCAATCAATCTGAATGGCTCCTTTCCCTTTTTAATGGACATGACTGGACATGGCATTTATGCCACAGGAGTGTGCATTTTACATGTATATTGCACAAGATTAACAAAGGGTCTATATTTACCAATCCTCCCAGTTTAGCCTCTCCTGCTGCTGTGCACTGCCCTCTCACAGAGGCAGTAGTATGAGATTTTGAGCTGCCTGCTGCTAACACCCTCTGCGTGTTCAGCCCAACACAGACAATCAATGTTTCCCCTGTAACAGTGAAATATTAATAGTGGGTTTATGTTCCAGGACAGCACCTTTTTAGCTGAACGTCCTTCAGCAGATGAATCAACAGTCAGCAATGCCTTGCCTTTTGATTACACCAAACCAGATTCCACTTTAGATATTGAACAGTCCAGTGACAATGAAATCCAGCCAAGACCAGAAACCATGGACTTTGAGGCTGGTTTGGCACCTGAAGCTCCACTTTTCTCAGAGGTTGACATGACTTCTTTGCCTGATGGGCTGAATTTAGAGGATGAGGATCATTTGGCCACTGCACCAGCATTAGTGCATGATTCTGTGGACTCTCTGGAATGGCTTTCAGCCCCCACTTCTTTAGATGGTAAGTTAATGTCATTGACTGAAACTTAAATTCGGATGCCAGCATTTCCTGATACTCACCAAATTAGAGTTCACCAAAATGCCTTTTCAGAAAGGTCTAAGACTTGGATAGCTTTATCTGCTAGTTTTTAACTTTTCCTGTGAGCATGAGAACAGTATACCAAGGTAAAATGCTTGTAATAGCTTATAATTCCTGTTTATCCCTTCAGGAAATTATACTTATTTAATTGCATCAAAATAATTTTTAATGTCTTGACTTGGCCCACAGAATATCTGAATGGAAAGTGGGAGAAGTCAACAGGGGTCCTTCTGACTTTGACATACAAAGGCCAGGATATATCATGGGAAACGTGGAATACAGATCTAAAGTTAATAGAATTAATGTAATTTGACACTTTTTATCATAAACAACTAACTGGAAATTTATTTTTAGTGTTTGAAGATACTGGACTATCTGAAGACCTTTTGCCTTCAAGTCCTTCTCACCTTGTGCCTGAAGAATCTCCATCTACAGATGATTATGCAGTTCCTCTGCTTTCTGCACCAACAGTGGCCTCTTCATCAGTCATAGAGGCTGATATTAAAGAAACAGTTTCTGCTGAGAAGGAAGAAGTAACTCAAGGTAGTCTTGAGGGCAGTGACAGTGCAGAATCTGTGGAAGAAATTCCTTTTCCCTTAGAAGTACCCCCTATGGAAGACGAAACTGATATAATTTTTGGAGATAGAGTTATATATGATGATGGGTCTGGTTCAGCTTTTGATGGTTCAGGAAAAGAAATGGAATCAAGTATTTGGCCTTGGGAAGAAGCAACACTGGAACCAGTTTTCTACCCTGGTCCTGATAGCTGGCTTGAAGATGACAATGAGTCTTTGTTAATCAAAACTGAGGATATTCCTGAAGGCATGATCTTAGACTATATTCTTAACTCTGGGAATAAATTAGATTATGATCCTTCCAGAGATGAGAATGAAGGTATGGTCAGTATAAAAGATTTCCTTGATGAGTCTGAAATATTTGTCTTTCCAGAGACTACAAGTCCGCAAGTACCTCTGTTACAGACAGAAGAACCATCATCTGTGGAACCATCTACACAGACAGAAACACTGGGCATGTATGATTCTTCTTCCATTAAACCATCCTTGGTTTTGGAGCCTGCAGTGGATCATTCCTCTGTAGACATGCCAACTGGAGAGGCCCCTGTCTCACCACAGTATACAGATCTGTCTGTGGAAGATAGTCTCCTTACATCTACAGGGACTGTTGGTATGGAGCAACCTGAAGAGTCAATTGTAGATGAGAATATAATTCCTGAAGCAGTTGAACACCAAGATGAAGATGGGACCATAGTAGAAGATCTATTCACAGTGAAGCAGCTAGATGCATTGGAAGCTGCTACAATAGGACACTTGGACATAAGCTCTTCAGAAACTATTCTGACTGTAGAGCCTTCTGTGGTAAAGCCTGATGCTTCTGCAGAAGAGCAGGAAACCCTAGATTCATCATTGGCAAGCCAAGAGACTGCTGAATCAGCAGTAAAGAAACCAACTGATGTTTGGCCTACTGACAGAGCACTTGAAACCTCTTTAGATCAGACAGTGGAAGCAGCAATGCCAGCTTCAACTCCTGTTTCCATGAGCTTCAGCACTGTTATGAGTTATGAAACAGTGAGTGTAACAACAGGTGCCATTGAGCTTCCATCCCATCTCCCCCCTCTGGGATCCACGACATCATTGTCTGTGGCTACCTCAACAAAGCTGGAAGATGAAATGACAAGAGTCCCGGATGTTTCAGTAGACCTGGATCATGTAAGCACTGTCCGCTTTTTTCCTGAGCAGACTGAGGAGGGAAGGAGAATGACTGAAAGTCCCGTGGAGCTAACGACTCATGTCCGGTCCACGGAGATGGCCAGTGTGGCTTGGGCCACACATGAAACTCACTATAGTAGCACTGTCCCATCCAGAGCTCTAGTTGTGTTTTTCAGTCTTCGGGTTACCAACATGATGTTTTCAGAGGACTTGTTTAATAAGAACTCCCCTGAGTACAAAGCATTGGAGCAGCGATTCTTGGAACTGGTAAGAATCACTTCTATGCTAAACGTCCAGTATCAGACAGATAAAGATTGTTGCTAATGATATTTAGTCATCTCTCTTGTAGAGAGCAACCCAGAACTGGTGTTTACAGATATTATTTGTGTCTCTCCATGGGAAAATTCTGTCTGGAAATGGGTGGTGGGGTACTGTTTGTCTTTCATTCAGTCAACAGTCTCTCTGAAGCAGAACTTCTTTTCACTATGGGTCAGCTGCCCGGCTGGTGTCAATAAATGTAGCAATGTAGCTGAAGTCACTACCATGTTCCCCTTACTTGCTTCCAGAGCGCTGTGGGAGAAAGGGAGCAAGATGTGAATAAATTGGGGCTGTGATGAGGTACCTTTTCTGCAACACATTCAATCCATCCTGGGTAGGAGGTAGCTTAGGGAACTAAGCTGTTCCTAACCTGGCTGGTGACTAGCAAAGCCTCAGAGGAGTTATACAGCAACAACTACCAAATTTTAATTGGAAAATTCCCTTCCTCTGACTGAAATGAACCTTGTGTTGTGGGAGATGAAGGCAGCAGAGAGAAGGAAGAGGGACATCCTTGAACGAAAAACTGTGAAATGGCAAGTATGCCTGGTGCGTAGATCAAGGGAGAGCATGAAGTATGTTCTGAGAAATGTATTTCTGAATCGTAGATTTTTCTAAACTGTCTGCAAACTCTTACACTCTTAAGAACTGCCTGAAGTACTTGGGCTCCTGGCCGGCTGCCAGCACAGACCTCTACTGGGTCTTCACTGTGGGATTTTTATGAAATCATTCAGACTCCTATTGTCTGATGCAGTAACACTGCAACTGGCTTGAGTAGAGAGAGATTCAAAGATTCAGCTTTTCTGACACATGCCCTGTGTTGCAGCTGGTGCCCTACCTTCAGTCAAATCTGACAGGATTCCAGAATCTGGAAATCCTGAACTTCAGAAATGGCAGCATTGTGGTGAACAGTCGAATGAAATTTGCCAAACCTGTGCCTCGGAATGTCACCAACGCTGTGTACATGATCCTGGAAGACTTCTGCAACACTGCATATCACACCATGAACCTGGCCATTGATAAATACTCCTTGGATGTGGAATCTGGTAAGGATGTCAGGGATTTAGAACAATTTCTGCTTTATGTACTAAGGATCCCAGCAGCTTAGAGCCTGCCCACTGCTTTTCACAGGCTGGACTTTAGAAAGACAGTCTTTCAAAGAGTTCAAACAAGGAAACAAATAAAAATCTGTTATGAGATTTAAGAGATGAAAATCAAAGTGGGACCCAGACAGAGCAAACTGTATGGGGTTCATATAGAATTATGGGGACAAGTTCACTCATGTAATACTCTATATAATGCCACTGTGATTTGCCTGAGGAGTGAGGGAGCAGGGTGGTCAGGGAGAACCATGGTGCCCCTCTCTCTTGTGCTTAGTTTCATGTGTGGTTTGAACTTATTCCATGTGGTTACTCCCATAGGTTTATGGGAGCCAGTTTAGCTTCCAGGTGGGCATCTGCACAGGTAACAGCTGCTGCCTCATCCTTGTGGTAAGGTCTTGGTTGCACTAAAAAGTTACAGGCCCTCTTGGTTCAGTCCTTGAATACAGGGAGAAAGCTTTTTCCCTGTCCAAGTTACCCAGTAGTTTACCATATAAACAACTCAGAAACACTTCCTGTTTTAAGGTTAGAGATAAATAAAGAGTGCTGACCTGTTGGCGAATGGTAACTGTTCTTCTCAGACAGTTCTCTTATAAAGATAGTCTAATTAGCATGACAAATCTTCTGCTATTGATTAACTGTTTGCTAGCCTCTTAAGCTTGGCACAAGCGAGATATCTCAAATGCTACAAGCTTGCAGACAAAAAGGACACAGGAGGAGGTGAGTGCAGAAAGTCTCACTGCCCTTCCCTATATGCTGCCTAGGTTTTCTATAACAAGAAATACTGGAGATCAGCTGTGTTTTTATCGTTTGCAAAATATAGTTCCAGCAGACTGAGAACATATGAGATACTGCACATTCCAGTAAGAAAAAGAACACTTCATACTTGCTTTTTAAATTGGTTTGCTGGGTAGCCTTAGCCATGCCAGTGGCATGCTCTGTGCAGACAGAGGAATACCTACTAGTGCTTGTTTGCCTTAGCAGAACCTTTTGTTACTCAGGAGAGACACACACTGGATTTTTGTGGATTAACCAAGACATCATTAGAGAAAATGGCAGCAGACAACCAGCTCTTCGCCTAAGATTTTCCTCTATCATGAATTTTTTCTGCTCTGTCTATTGTCAGGTGATCAAGCAGATCCCTGCAAATTCCAGGCCTGCAATGAATTCTCTGAATGCTTAGTAAATCGCTGGAGTGGAGAAGCTGAGTGTGTCTGCAATCCTGGCTACCTAAGCATCGATGGGCTGCCATGCAACAGCATTTGTGATCTGCAGCCAAACTTTTGCCTGAATGATGGAAAGTGTGACATAAGCCCTGGGCACGGAGCCATCTGTAGGTAGGTCACCTGCTGTTTGGAGTTGTGCTTCTTGTATGAAAACCTCTTATTGCCTCCTCTGTTGTAGCATTTTACAAGACTTGTCAAAAATTCTGTATAATACATAACAAGTGAGTAGACAGTGAATAGCATTCATGTTATGGTGCTGAGAGCAAGTCCCAATATTAATGTGACTTCTCCTATGTATATATCAGAAATGAGACAGGAACAAATTAATAGAATAGAAACATAAGGAACTTAGCTAGGAAAAATGGTTGTAATGGAGTCACACACAGTTGTTCAAATCACTTTCATTGAACTTTGGGGATAGAATTTATCTCCAGAGGTTTTCTCAAGTAGCGAAGTATTAGATAATGTCATATAACACATGAGAGTTAAGTCCATGACAGAAATTCATACCTGAAAGGCTTATTGTTAGAGCATAAATATATTAAATATAATGCTTTTGGTTAAGAAAAAGTCATAAAAGTAAATCATTGGACATTTGGGAAAAACCACGTGTGGTTCATAAAAGAATGAATGCGCAGGCCCCATATTTCAAATTTTTGCTTAAATAAAAGATACAGTACAGATCCTGTAGCTGAACAGGATTGCTGTATTTTGCAGGTAATGGAAAAGACTTAGTACAAGATACAGACAAATTGATGCTGCCCCTGACACTGCACTTGATTTTTTACTTTTCAAACAATGTAACTGTCTGTTTTTAAAAGCAACTATACCTATGAACAAAAGTTAAGAGAATTATTGCGGAGTATTACTACTAGTAGCTATTATTTTTCTTATTTCCTGTGATTTTCTTTTTAAACTTTACCTAGAACATCTCTAAAGTCAATCTTAGAGTACTAGCAGCTAACAGAAGAAAGGAAAATGTTTTAAAAACCATAAAAATGGGTATCACAGATGTATTATAAATTGAATAATATTTGTATAATAGTGTTAATTAGAAGCAGGAAAGTATCTGAATTCAGGCATGCTCTGGCTGCTATTTATTAAGAACTTTTTGAAAAAAAATGAAATATTGCTTACTATTTTCAGAAACTATTTCAGATAATTACATTAGAAGACTCAGTTTACTGATGTTTCTTATTAATAAGGTCCATTGCTGTGAGTGGTCATAATACCTTACAATCCCATGATTTTTTATAGCAAGAACTCTAAAATGCATGTAATGCAAATATATTAATTTTACTGCTATATTTAAAGTCATCATTAACATTAAAGTTCTCATGTTCAAAACCACAGTAAAACAGCAATACTGAATACTGGTTTGGGTAGCCATTCCAAAGATGCAATCTTTGATACACACTTCTTTCATAGAACCATCAAGGTTGAAAGAGGCCTTTAAGATCATCAAGTCCAACTGTTATCCTGTCACTCCACTGTAACCCCTAAACCATATCTTCCAGCGTAAGATCCAGACAACTCTTAAACACTTCAAGGATAGTGACTCCACCACCTCCCTGGGCAACCTGTTCCAATGCCTGACCACCCTAACAGTGAAACTTTTTTCTAATATCTAATCTGAATCTCCCCTGCCTCAGTTTATGGCCATTCCCACTAGTCCTCTCATTGCAGGCATGGCAGAAGAGACCATCCCTCACCTCTCTACCCACCCCTTTTAGGTAGTTGGAAAGAGCGATGAGCTCACCTCTGAACCACCTCTTCCCAAGGCTAAACAAACCAAATTCCCTCAGCTGTTCCTTATACAATATGTTTTCCAGACCTTTTATGAGCCTCGTTGCCCTTCACTGGACTTGCTTCAGCACCTCAATGTCCTTTTTTAAAGTGAGGGCCCAGAACTGAACAAAATACTCAAGGTATGCACTCATCAATGCTGAGTACAGGGGGATGATCACTTCCTTAGTCCTGCTGGCCACACTATTCTTGATACCATTGGCCTTCTTGGCCACCTGTGCACACTGTTGGCTCATATTGAGCCCCTGTCCACCAGCACTCCCAAGTCCCTTTCTGATGAACAACACTCTAGCCACTCCTCCCCCAGCCTGTAGCACTGCATGGGGTTGTTGTGTCCCAAGTGCAGGACCAGCACTTCACCTGATTGAACCTCATGCAATAGTAATATTTTTTCTCTTTCTAGTAATTTATTTGATGTATCTATTTAACTAACCATTGTGGAATTCACTACACTAGTAACATTCTGCTTGGTTAATACACCTTCATTTGTATATGTATTACAAGATGATGAAGACAACTGCTTTCTACCTTTACAGCGTTTGCTATATCATGTGTAAGGATCAATCACAAGAGGACTTTTTACTTGGTCTAAACACCTTCCAGTTTAACACATCACAGTATAATCTAAATTGCAAAAAACACAGGCTTTTTCTATCACAAATGCATTAACATTTAACTATTTTACCTATCTTCATTTAATTCAGTAACTGGGGTAGTTCAGCTTGGAGAAGAGAAGCCTCCTGAGAGACCCAATTGTAGACTTTTGATGCTTAAAGGAGGTGTATTGGAAAGATGAGGACAAACTTTTTGCAAGGGCTATTGTGACAGGACAGGGGGTAATGGTTTCAAACTAAAAGAGGGTAGATTCGGGCTAGAGAGAGGGAAGAAATTTTTTACAATGAGGGTGGTGAAATGCTAGAACAGGTTGCCTGGAGAGGGAGTAGATGTCACATCCCTGGATTGGACAGGGCTCTGAGCAACCTGATCTAGCTGAAGATGCCCCAGCTCAGTGCAGGGGGGTTTGACTAGATGACCCTTAAATGTCCCTTTCAACCCAAACTGTTAAATGATTCTATATCAAAAAGAATGTTCATCATCATCATCATAAATGAAAATTGGTGACTGAACAATGCAAAGGAATTCACTGAGGTGGCTTAACTGAAGGCATGTCAGAACAGGAAGTTAAATACGTTAACTAAAGCTTTTGCTGGTGTTTAATTTCCCTGTGTTTCTTTGTGGCAGGTGTCGTGTGGGAGAGAACTGGTGGTACAGAGGGGAACACTGTGAAGAATATGTGTCTGAGCCACTGGTTGTGGGTATTGCAATTGCTTCTGTGGCAGGATTCCTTCTTGTGGCATCTGCTGTCATCTTCTTCTTGGCCAGGACCCTTCGAGACCAGTACACGAAGAGTGACACGGGGGATTCACAGGGGTAAGTGACACCATCTACTATTTTAAAACATATCTGCTACAATAAGGATAATTGTCCTAAGTCTTATATCACCCAGTTGACAAAGCAACAGGATGTACAGGCACCTCCAAATGCCAGGCTTCCTTAGTCTATCTGCTGCCCTTTCAGGCTGCAGAGAAGCTCACAGTTTGTTTATTGCTCCCCCAGGCAGGGTGACAGCCTCTCGTCCATTGAGAATGCAGTTAAATACAACCCCATGTATGAAAGTGATACGACTGGCTACAGCCATTATTACCGGAGATATCCTCAGCTAACGTCCTACAGTTCTACCAGTGCAGAGACATCCACAGACTACAGCAGTGAAGAGATCAGGCACATTTATGAAAACAGTGAGCTTACTAAGGAGGTAAATGACCTTGTTTTCATAGTGGCATGGGAAAGATCATGTAAACAATAAGTTTATTCCACACTTCTCATCACAGAGGTGGGCCCAATCTTTCCCCAGTGTCTATGCTCTAGATAAAGAGGTTGCAACTATGGCTGCTGCAACTATTTAAGAGAAGACAGAAAGGTTTTCTTTCCCTGATTGCTTTTAGGTGTAGAGAAAAGGTATGGGTTTGTTTTGACATGTAATGAATTTCACATGATAAAGGAGATGACAGTTTAAGTAACTTCAGGGGAGTTGGGGAGGTTTGATGTATTGCTCGACACAACTTTTACCTTTTAATGCCAACTATCTTAAGTAAGAGTAGTTACATAGTAAAAACCTGGTGCATCCAGGCCTTTTCAGAGGTTTTTTTTAAATGGCTTTTAAAGTTTAGGTCTTTCTATAACCTGCAAGTAAGATCACAGCCTTCTCCTTTCTTCCTGGAATCAATATCCCAGGTTTACTCTAGAAGACTAAAGAGAAGGGATTTACATCCTAGAACTAACCACAAATCCTTAAGCAACTGTGAGAGGTGTGAATCCAGCATGTAGCTGGACTGGTAGGCAGAGTATCTGTGAGAGATAAATGGTTTTGTTAAAGCTTGTTGAAAAGGCACACTGTCCAAACCTGGGTTTGGATTTAAAAGTGAAGTTTTACTGAATTCAAATTAAGTGCTTCACATAAAAAAAAAAAGCATGAAGAAAAATTTTAGTATCAGAGTGCCCATTTTCAAGCTCTACTCCTTGAAATAGCAATGCACAGTTTTACTTTCCAAAACCTACAAATCAGTAATTTCAGTAGTATTCTAATTTCTATTATGTACTTACAATTCTGTTTCTTGTATTCTAGGAAATTCAAGACAGAATCCGAATTATAGAGCTCTACGCTAAAGACCGTCAATTTGCAGAGTTTGTTAGGCAGCATCAAATGTGAGTGAAATGTCTTGTCTGGATAATTAACTCCTTTGATGTTTTCTCCTGTGGCCTTTACTACATTACTGTATTTTTTAAGGGCCTAGAAATGCTGGGACACTAGAGGCTAAGATTTCAAAATTATTTTTTAATAGATTCAACCCTTTTAAAATACTTAATAATAAGTGTTAAAAGTAGATAACTTGAGAAAATACGTTAAGACAGTGAACAGGAATCCCAAAGTTAATGGGTGTCAGAACTCTGACATCAATTTAGATCCTAGAGAACACAGATAGAACCTTCTTAACTCTTCTGGTGTAGTTCCCATTGCTAGTGCTCTACTTAAAATAGAAGTTTTAAAAGCATGTTAGTTATCTTGAGTTCTCAAGACTTGGCAACTAACCAAGACTGAACAGGTAACTAGTATGATCCTGTCTAGCATGGTAGAAAACTACCATCATAGAAAGTTTACAACTCCAAACAATCATTCTGAGCTGTGTTCTTTGCTGAAAGCTAAGCATGAAGAAGGTTGTCAAGGAACTAATTATTAGCATACACACTCTCATGAACTGTACTACTGCCATAGCAAGAAGCAAGTCACAGCTTGCTGAGTTAGAAAGATACTGTAGTAGAATTCCTTGGGATCCTATTAAAAATAGCTACAGTAGCAAAAAACCCAACTTGTGTTCCCAGATCTTCAATTGTAATTTTTTTTAATTGAAAAAAACAGCAGTTCACATTTTTTTATGTTCATTTTTTCATCCTGAAAAAGATCATTGTCTAAATTTTCCACAGCTGGAAAGTAGTAAGGGCTGCCTTATGTAAGCCTTGAATCCAGTGTTTGAAAGAGACTAACTTAATCATTGCTTCTCTGTTTTTCATTTCAGGAAGCTGCTTTAAGGAAAAAAAGAAATTGATAGAATGCACGTGGGAGATAAAGACTACCTTGTTGCCACAGCAATGGGCTCAGATGTAACTGCGAAGTTACTTATAGTCTCAACATTGCATGGATGGATACAGATGTTTTCTAAATGAATGGCTAAAATGTACAGATGTCTGTTTATCTCAATTACTTCTGGCTTTTCTGTGTAAAGTGACATTTTTAAGAGGTGATCTTAAGTGGCAGAGGTTATGAAAGTTCATTTTTCTTTAACTCTGAAACGGACAGTGAAAGTTTGTATACAAATGCAAAAAAAAAAATCTCCTCAGGTATGAGAAGATACATGCACAAACAAAATAAAATGCACATCGAAAATTCCTGCCTGGCATTTATCCCCTCACTGGAGGCTTCAGTGGTGATTTCATGGGTATAAAACACTAATGGAAATAAATACTTCATTTGCAAGGGAATGAGTTGTAGGGGTGAACTATTGTGCTAGGATTATGTAAACTTTTTTTTTTTAAGCATTCCCATTATCAACACAAACATAACCTCACTGGAAAAATTGTTCTTCTGTAATCAGATGCCTGATGTACATTTTGGCACCTGGCATTAGTGAAGTGGAGGACAGCACTGAGCCTGCAGCCTCCTGAAGGCTCTCCCCAGCAATGGGCATCACCTCTGCCTGTCAGTGACCCCATGGAGAGCCTTGGCAAGGCAAGGCAGTACTTTTGCAGTACAGGACAGTGTTTTTTAAAGCCAGGATGGTTGGTTCTCCAGCTATTTCTGGCAGACACACAAGCTGGGGCACAGAAGGGCTTCTATCATCCAAATGTTCTGTGAAGACTAAGTGACTAACATTGACCTTTTTGTATGTAGACGATTTGTTTCTTATTTTTTAAGTTAATATGCATTATTTATTTGTTGTGTGTTTCCTTACCAGCTTATTTTCACAATGGAATTAATTGTTGAGATAGAGAGATGACTAGTTTTAATGATGAAATACTGCAGTGGCATTTGTGCCCATTCTTTTATATATATTATATTTAGTGTTAATTCAGTGTTGAATTCAGCCAACTAATATTTGAATTTTCTTTACTGAACTGGGCAGTAGCCTGCCATGAGCTCCCTTTCAAAATCAGGCTGTGGTACTTAAGTGCACGCATATTTGGTAGATGGCAGCACTTTCCTGTGGGGAAGGGGAAAAGTGAGATTATTCTTAGTTTAGTGGAAGTCAGCATAGAAAACCTTAAACAGAAGAAGCTGGCCTGAAGCATTTTAAAATAGCTGAATTGAGATGTGCAGACACAAAGTTTAATCTGCAAGTTATGAAGAGAGTTCTGACTACATGTTAAGGTGTGTTGGGGCTCTGTTCAGTCACCTAACATCTCTTGTTAAAGGCATTAACACAGCTGTCAGGGTTAGGGTGCAAATTACAATCTCATTAGCTTATGCTAGCAAAAAAGGCCAAGTTATTTGTTATTTCTACATCAGTAGTTCTCGGCCCACATGTGCCAACAGCCACTTGATGCTTTGTAGAGTTAAGCTCTAGTGAGAATTACTTAATTATCTATAGGCAGCTAGGCTAAACAACTGCATATTTCAATGCAATTCTTCTACGTGTTCTGGCAAACCTCCCTGGATCACTTGTGTAGTACCTTCTTGCCTTGAGTGGCAGGGGATGGATATCAGAGCCACACATCTCTCAAAGAAATGCTTATATAAACCACTGTAAGCCAAAATAAAGCCAGACAGCGGGAAGTAATATGGTGCTGCTGAACACTGTTGTGACCAGATGTTGAGACAGAGGCCCCATCTAACTGTGTGACCCAAGTGCTGTCAGAGCAGCTGGTCCAGAGTTTCTGAGGCACAGCCCACTCCTCCTGCCCCTGCAGCAGCACAGCTGAGCCATCCTGTAACACCAGGGCCTGTGATCACCCTAACTGTGCAATGTAGAGAAGTACTGGGCTCAGGGTAGACATCAGCTTGTGACTTGTTTCTCTGCAGCTGGGCTGCCAGCCCTGGGAGCTTTAGTGCTGGTCCTGCTAAGTGCAGCAGTGAATGGCACCTGAGATCAGGCACGTTTTAAAGGTATTCTATAGTATCTGCTGTGCACAAGCTGAAAAGAGGCTTGGTTACACTGAGTATGAGGCATTTCGGTGCATATACAGTGATATTTTCTTTGTGTGTGTGTGTATGAACATGATGGTATCTTTTCACTGCAATAAAAAGTTATTTCCAAAATATTTTTTCTATAAAATTCATGTAGAGTCTATGAGTTTGACATGGAAAAGGCATCTTAGCCATGACCATTGGTGCATGTAGGATCAGAAAGTTTGTTGTTTTGTTTTTAAACAGAGTTGGCAAAGCTGTTAAACTCTTTTGCTTACAAAAGTGCTAGATGTAGTTCATTAACACTTGCCAAGCTATAGACTGAAAATTCATGCTGGAAAGCACATACTTGAGTGCTTTGCTTTCAGTTAAACTCTTTGCCCATTTTCAAGATGTTTCATCTCTAATCAAAGAGCCAAAACATGTTGTTACTTAGGTCATCTTGAAGTCTTAAAAACAAAACCAATTCCCTCTGCTTCAAACCTTTTCATCTGAACTGTTTGGTGATGCATCTTGCAACACACTAAGGACTTCATGAGTGACTAACTGACTTTGACACTTTCCCCATACAAGACAGAGATAAAAAACTCTAAATATCCTAACCAAAAAATACAAAAACCACCAAACAAAACCCACCACCAAACCATCTCTATGTACAAATCCACCAGTCTGTTATCAGTTAACATGCAGTTTTTCACTTGCTAAAATTAAAAAGTACAGGTTTGAATGACTTGGGTTAATTTAAGAGCATGGAGAAAGGCAATAATTGTTTACTAAACACTTATAGGTCTTTCAGCATTTGTGCCTCCCCCAACAAGGCTTGAAACAGAATAAAATGAGGCCCTCCAGAACACTAGCAGCTGCCCCTTTAACAGAGGATCTCAAACATACAGCAACCCATGTTGGACCACAGTGCCACGGACTGCAAAAACCACTAGGTTTAAATTCTGCCTACACTATTTCTGGGGTCTCTCAATGCCTTCCCTTTTTCACCTCAAAGCACCAGTCCACAGTGGTAGAATTTTACTATGTCTGGAAATTCAAATGGAAACCAAGTGTTCAGAGCTGCAAGACAAACAGCTTTAACAAAATGTGTGCTTGTCTTTTTTTGGTAGCTTTCTAGCAAAGTACAGAGCCTTGCCCAGCAAAAACCTCAAAGATATTGAGTATGTACTCTGTTAAGCTCCAGAATGTGAGCTTCATGTGCTGCTAGGTAACAGTTTGGTTCTGGAAAACAGATTTCTTCAGAACCTCAGAGATAGGAGAAATTTGTAGTTTCAGCTATCTCCTCCAAAACAAGGAAGCATGAATAAACTTTCTAGATTTTTAAGAACGTACAGCTTAAATGTTAACATGGAAAAAGCCTTTAACAATCAAGACTTTCACTCAAGTTTCTCATCACGAATTGACCCTTGTGGACAACTGCAGAAGGAGCGTGAGGGGACTCTGCACTCTTCCACATAAAGTCTGTGGACAGCAGGCATGCTCAAGTGCCAGAGCTCCAGCACAGGGACAGCCATCTAATCCTATAAAAACACCAAGCACACATATTCACCAATACCAATTTATCTGTCTATCCCTAAGCACTGTAGGACAGACACAGACTGACTTTGTACAGCATAGGAAATGTATCAGGGCATTGTTACTGTTTAAATATTAGTAGAAAGCACACAGGACTTTCATGCACCTTGTTTACTTGAAGTGTACTGTAACACCAGCAGCATTTCTATCTTATCTTTCCATTATTTGATCCACTTTGGAAGCCGATGCATTATGTTCTACATAACACCCATCCATTTGCTTTTGCTTCTCAACTCAAAAAAAAATTTGAAAAATCCAAAGCTATTTCTGGGCCAGGAATTTTTTTCATTTGTCAGTCCAAGTGGGAAAGTTTTTGGTTTTGCCATATTCAACACTAATTGGCTCTCCTACTCCAGATTATTAATGATCCCCAGGAATTTTAGTGGAGTTCCTATCCTCTTGGACTTTTGCCCTTGCTGCTTCTCACCCTGCTTGCTGGGTCACCCACCACACTGAGTAGTAGGAAACACAGTCGTGGCAGGCAGCTCTGCTTAACAGCAGGTTACAGGACAAAAATGAGATCTTGCCTGAGGTGCTACAGCTGTTCAGAAGAACTCAGCTGAACACCACCTCCAAACCTGTGCTTTTAGTTTTCCTGTGTTTCCAATTAAACACAAAACCAAATTTCAACTCTTTCTTGTTTCAGGATGAGAAATACCCTCAGTACTGGAATTCTGTGGGACACGTGCCAATTTATTACATTTAAAAAAAATCCGTTCTACCATCAGCACATCTAAGGACTATATGCCAATTTATTACATTTTAAAAATATCAATTCTACCATCAGCACATCTAAGGACTATGTTTCTGTACTAAATAAGTAAGTTCAAGTAAACTACACTTAAAGCCTGACCTTTTATAAAGGGACACCACCTCACCCCCAGCTCTCATTTATACAACAAAATCAGCAAAAAATACTCTCTGCCTTGAATCATTGGAGGTTTAAACGCCATTCAAATATTTCCTATTAAACACAGATAAGACTTAGTGTTAACTGGAGTTGTGATTGCATCTCCACAGCTGATTTCCAGATGGGGAAACTATGCCTTTCTGGAAAGGCTGACGTAGCTTGAACAGAAATGAAAACGGGAACAACGATGGATACAGCTATATATCAAAACTTTATGCAGTAATGCAGGCGTGTGGCTGGATAAAAGAGGTCAAGTGAAGAGGTAGATTTTGGGAGGTGAGCCTACAAGCAATCCCAAGAGTGAAAGTTTTCCATCTATTCATGGGAGACAACTACAAGAAAATTCACTCAGCTCCACCTAAAGAGGATTACACAGTGATTATATGATCTCTCATCCTGGAAAGGGAGGGAGATGCAAAGCACTTCCAGCAGCAGTGCAGGGCTTGAGTCTTCTAGCATGAACTACAGGTAACTGCTGGCTGCAGTTCACTGTTCAGTTCCCGTCATCTGCTCTGTAAGGGAGTGGCTGTTGTTCCTGTCCCTAGTTTCAGATGGGAAGACCAGAAGGTTTTGATCCACAAAAATGCCTTATACAGTTCTCCAGTAAACCAGAGACTGCTGCACAGCTTTTTATGCTCTTTTTTTTTTTTTTTAAAACTTTTGTTATTACTGGAAGTTTTGATGGTAAAATCAAATGAAAACATCCACTGCCAAATAAACCCTCC